CTCTCTCTCTCTCTCTCTCTCTCTCTCTCTAGTTCCTTGAGAAGATGTACATCAGGAAGGAATGTAAATGTGAGTGTAAGACTCCTATAAAATAACTTGGCATAGAACAGTTTGGGGAGATGATTAGACAGATTTCATTAACTATATAGTACTTGGATATTTCTCTGTCTCATTAAACATTAAACAAAATTTGTGATGAGTATACCACCACGGATGTACAACTTCGATATGGCAACACCCATAAATTTTATACCTAATACTTACAAATATTTCACAATGGCTTACTGCTTCAGTAAATCAATATTTTATATATTTTATCAACTATGAGATTAATATTCACATATAGTCTTCTCATATTTTTTACAACATTGTCGATATTACATAGGTCAAGTAATTATTTGTAAAAATATATAAAACTATAAATAAAAGCAAAATTACTTGGTAGCATTTTCCCAGGGTATTATCTTTCCTGGTTTTGAGTGAATACTGTTATTACTCTTTCTTTAGAATATAATTTTCTTTCATTTTGAATTAAGCTTACTCAGCTTTTTTTCCTCCCCTTTTTAGACATTTTAGTCTTAATAATAAATGTGTACCTAGAACATAAGGTCCATAGTTCATAAAGTTTAATGAAAACTCAAGTTGACATATATTTTTTAATTAATTTCTCATTTTTTATTAAAAATGTTAATTTTCATGTTAGGAAAATCAGAAAATATAGGCTAATGAAAAGAGTGTAGAAAATAGAAATAATTGCTATATAGTCAACAATAAGCACTCTTCACCCATTGGCATGTATCCTTCTAGATCTTTTTCTATTAAACCCACCTGTATAATTTAATAAAAATGAATTTATTAAAAGGGTATTGGGTTCCAAAGTTGTATCAATTACTGCATCTGTCTTCGAATACAAAATCTCTGGGTGATGACCTTTCATCTTCTTGGTCTGTCATGATCCTATCTCAATAATCGGTGTATTGGACTGACTACATTGTAATTGATGCTATAAATGAGTCTTTACTATATACTCTCAATGAGGCCACACGCTTTAGGGTGATGGAGTACATGATAGGTCAGTGAACCCCATAGTGTTAGCCCGTTGCTGTAAAATTAGTTTCTTAGCGAGAGCAAATGTTGGGTGAAATATTATGGTGGCGAATAAGCATTCAGGAAGTCTATGAATATTGATGTGTACAGAAGTTTGTTCAGCAGAAAATCAAACCTAAATCCAGAATAAGCTGTTATTCTAGTAAGGCCCCTTTACCCAGGTTCCCTTGATGTTTTAACTCATCATACATACCCACATTTGGTAGCCCACAGGAGCCACAGGGGAGAGCTGCTGCTCCTGCAGGAGGAGGCATCCTGTTCTACTAGGCAAGCTGGGGAGCAGGATTTTGACATTTAGTCCCAGGATTCTGACATTCAAGTGCTGAGCAGAAGATGCTGCTGGCATTGGTGGTCTGGAGAGAATCCATTTCATTCCTCGGCTACATTGTTCCTGGCTTGGTTACATTCAGGCCTAATTCATATCTTGGACATGAGTTTGGTTTTAATTGCTGGACAACTAAATAGTCAACAGAAACAGTAGCCAGATCAGCCGTGGTGAGGGGAAATCCAAGTTGCCAGAAGCCACATTCAGCATGCCCACTTTGTTCACGAGATCACTGGGCAACACTGGAGTGCCTGGAGAAAGAAGCAGGCTGACATGCAGAGGATAGGCCAAACTTTTCACCTGATTCTTGAGCGCTTACTCTACAGTGGAGGCCTTTAGGTGAGTATTCACAAAGAACCAAATATCCTTATACTCTGGATCCTTTCTGAGAGATGCCCTGTTTTCCTCTTCCCCAAACATGTTTGTCACCAGCCCTGCATTCTTTATCCTTCTAAGACTCTGGCTGCTGTGTTAAACCATCAGCTTACTGACTATTAATTGGTGATATCTATACCTCAGGCCATTTCTCCTGTTAGACAAGGTGGTCAACAGGGGGAAATGCTTACAATTTTGTCTACTGAAAAATTCCCCTTCTCAATTGTTCTTCAGGGCTACCCTTGAATTGGGCTACTGTGTTGTGTCAGGCCACTTATGGCTGGTACCATCATATTGTGCCGGTTGTCTGTTCAGTCACCAGGACTTAGAGAATATCCCTGGGTCAGATGTGTAGGCTGAAGAAGAATGGTATTATGGTAGGAGCGAGCACACCATGCAATTTGTTTTGTCTTTAGCTTCTGATCAAGCCCAGTCCTATATAGGAAACTTCGACTTGACCATGAAAAGCAATGTAATTTTGTAACTAAACATGTGGACTTCTGAAGCCCGAGAGCCTGGGTTCAAACCAAACTCTGCTACTTATGAACTATATGACTATGGGGTCAATTGCTTATCCTCTCTCTGCTTCAGTTTTCTCTTCTAAAGTGGAGATAATAGCAGTAATAACAATACTATCTCCCAAAATATTGGGGACGATTAAAAGAATGGTTACAAGTAAAGTGCTTAGAACAACAGAGTCTGGTGCATTGTACACACTCACTAAATGTTTTACTGGCTTTAAGGCTTGGTGGCTCAGGTGACCCCCAGGTTATGATGGGCACCAGTTGCTTGGTTACCTAGTGTCTCATGATCAGACTGCTGTATTTACTAGTGCTAGGCAACAAACCAAGATTTGTTTCTCAGGAGAACAGTTCTATGCCACAGAGTTCATGGCACAGCTGCAAATCCCCAGGGTTCTAGTGCTAGGCAACAAACCAAGATTTGTTTCTCAGAAGGAGAACAGTTCTATGCCACAGAGTTCATGGCGCAGCTGCAAATCCCCAGGGTCCTGTGCTCTGATTCGCCTTTCCAGACGTGCCAAAGCAGCCTGTGTGCCACAGGTGCTTCAAGCCCACTGGATTCACTGGATCAGAGGGCAAAGCCTTCTGGACCAACTAAAAACCTTCTCTTGCTTCAGGCTGTCCTTAAAGCTGGCAACCTCTCAGATTACTAAAAGAATGAGCTAAAACAGCACATCTAAATCCGGCCTCCAAAATCCAAAGAGAAGTACAAGTGGCACACCAGTATATATTATTTCTAATGCCCATGTATAATAAATGTAAATAATCTCAAGAGCATAGACAATAATAAAAAGTTGTTAAGTAGGAAGTAGTGAGTTCTTAAGTTCTTATTACCTTAGGTTCTAATATAATTTACTTAACTGTAAGTATATGTAAGTTTTAATAATGACTGTGTTTACCAACCAACTCACTAAATTCCTGAAAATTTAACAGTTGGCTTTTGTGGGCTGATACAAACTGTCTCTAGTATATTACTGATGGAATTCAAGGCAATGAGGCATATTGGGGTGAAGAATGGAGAGAATTGGCTTCCTCAAACTCTTGTTTCCACAAAGGTCATTATAGAGTCTTCATGCAAGGTGGGAAAAGCCTCATCATGCAGGGAAGTAGGAAGAATTTCTCTAACAAGGAAGGCTGCATTAGGCTGAATCTGTCAAGAAGCAGAAAGAAAAAATGTGATTGTTCAAGAGATTTGCTGGGGGAAGGAGCAAAAGAAGATAGGAAGAGCCTTTATGTTATGGTACATGTGGAATCCCTGTGCAAGGAGAGAGGGAAGGAAGGAGGATTAGAAGAACCTTGAACTGCAGCACAATTCACATAAAGATTTGGCCAGACCAATGGCAGGTCCTTAAGTCAAAGTTGCCAAGAGAGGACTTTGCCAGAATAGGATTGCCTTGGTACTTGCGCATGTTCAGTCACTGGCTGGGAGTAGCCCAAGGGAGCATGGCCTCAGTGTGAGGGTGGACGATCCAGAGGGGCAGCAGCTGGATCCGCCAGTCAATTATACTCCCTGCAGCAGGAGACCTGAATAGCACATTTTCATAAAGTTGAGAGTTTAGGGAACTTGAA